TTTTTTTTCTTGATTTCTTTGATGACTTACTGGTTGTTTAGCAGCATGCTGTTTACCCTCCACATGTTCGTGTTTTTCCTGTTTTTTTTCCCCCTTGTAATTGATTTCCAGTTTCATACTGTGTGGCTGGAAATCACATACTATGTGGTTTGATATGATTTCAATCTTCTTAAAATTTTTAGATTTGCTTTGTCTCCAGTGCAGAAAGGCTTTAACCTGCTAGTTGATTTGAGATGCATCCCCCCTGCACAGGGCCATATGCATCCTGCCAAGCTGTGTTATATTCTGTACTGTGTACAATAAAGAAGTTTGCTTTCAGTTTAAAAAAAGTATATATGTTCCACATGCCCTAGAAAAGAAAGTGTATGTACTGTTTTTGAATGTAATATTCTGCATATATCTGTTAATTCCATTTGGTCTAATGTGCCATTCAGAGCCACCATTTCCTCATTACTTTTGTCTCTGGATGATGGATGTAAGAGGGGTGTTAAAGTTCCCTACTAATATTACTGCCAATTTTTCCCTTTGTGTCTGTTAATATTTGCTTTATATATTTAGGTGCTCCTCTGGTGCGTAAATACAGTTGTTATACCTTCTTGATGGATTGAGCCCTTAATCATTATATGTCCTTTTTTTGTCTCTTGTTACAGTCTTTGTTTTAAATCTGTTTTGTCTGAAAAAAGTTTTGCTATTTTTTTTTCATTGCCATTTGCGTGGGATGTTTTTCTATCCCTTCTATTCCAGTCTGTGTGTCTTTTGATATGAAGTGAGTTTCTTGTAGGCAACATGCAGTTGGGTATTTTTTATTCAGTCAATCACCCTATGTGTTTTGATAGGAGAATTTAGTCCAGTTTTATTTCAGGTAATTATTGATAGGTATGTATTTATTGCCAGATGTTAAATGTTTCTTAGATAATTGTTCTCTGTTCCTTTTTTCTTTTTTGAATGATTGCTTTCTTTAGTGTTATGACTGCATTCTTTTCTCTTTTTGTGTGTCTATTAGATTTTTTGTTTGTAGTTACTGTGGGATTTATATATGATGTCTTATGTATATTGCAGTTTATGTTACATTCATGTCAAAAACTTAAGTATGAACACATCCTAACAGCACTACATTTTTTATTCCCCCTCTTCCACCTTCTCTGTGCTTCCTGGACCTGGGTGTCTGTTTCCTTTCATAGGTTAGGGAAGTTTTCAGCTATTATTTCTTCAAATAAAGTTTCCATGCTTCTTTTCTCCCTCTGGGACTCCTATAGTGCAAATGTTAGGATCTGTGATGTTTTCCAGAGGTCCCTTTACCTATCTTTATTTCTTTGCATTCTTTTTTTCTTTCTGCTGTTAGCTTGAGTGCTTTCCATTCCTCCGTCTTCCAGATCACTGATCTGTTCTAGATCCTCCGGTCTGCTGTTGAGCCTTTCTAGTGTATTTTTCATTTCATTCATTATATTCTTCATGTCTGATAGGTCCTCTTTTATATTTTTATCACTTTGTAGAGGTTCTCATTGAATTCCTCCACTCTTCTTTCAAGACTATTGAACATATTTTTTTTATTAAGGTATGATTGCTATACACTCTTATGAAGGTTTCACATGAAAAAACAATGTGGTTACTACATTCACTCATATTACCGTGTCCCCCCCATACCCCATTGCAGTCACTGCCCATCAGTGTAGTAAGTTGCCAAGACGAGTGAACATTTTTATAACTCTTTATCAGGTAGATTGCTTAGCTTTGTTTCATATAGTTCTTTTCCTTAAGTTCTGTCATGTTCTTTTGTTTCAAGCATATGCCTGCATCTTCTCATTTTGTTGACTTTCTCTATTTGTATATACAGATCAGGTGAAAGAGCTCCTAAGCTTGAATCTGTGCCTTGTATAAGAACATTCCCTGGGTAGACTACATGTGACAGGCAGTTTGGGGCTGGTTAGCTAGAGGCTGGGTGGGCACAGGGCAGGATATCCTGGTGCCAGGTCTTATGGGCATGTGGGTGCTAGCCAGAGGTGTGCTACTGGGGCAGCCAGGGGTTTAGGGTTGCAGTATGAGGGGCACCTGGGTTGTTTCTGGGCCGGGACCTCACAAACAGGGAGGATGGTAATGAAAGGGACACCTGCGGGTTGAATCTCATAAGCACAGTGCTAGAGTCTCTTTCATTGGCTGCTGGATCTCTGGTGGGCTTGTGTGTGGGTGGGGTCCTGGAGGCCACCTCTGTCTCATCTGGAGGTGGAATGTGCTCTTTGACTCTGCTCCTGTCTATGCTGTCAGTGTGTGTAGGGAATGTAAATGATGCCACTCTTCCTTCTGTCTGCACTGTGAATGTGCAAGGGAATGTAAACTATGTCATTCACCCTGCTTCCATATGCACTAGCAGTATACGTGTGCATGATGGGATGTAAGCATTGCCACTCACCCTGCTCCCATTTATACTAGCAGTGTGTTAGGGGGAAAGTAAACAATGTCAAAAACCCTGCTTCTGTCCTATCATTGTGCAGGGGAACTTAAACAGTGTTGCTCACCCTGCTCTTGCCCACAGTAGCAATGTGCAGGGGGATCATACACAGTAGTGCTCATCAGCACGTCTGGTCCCAGAGAGACTTCTAGCAGTTGCCCTGCCATTTGGTGGGTGCTTCAGTACTGAAACTTGGTTTCCTTCACAGTAGTGTGGGCACTTGCAGCTGCAGGCAAATCTACAATCAGGTCCCCAGTGATATCCCCCTTACTGCAGGGCTGCCTTGGGGGTGGGGCCATCTCTTATCATGTTTGTCTCTCCTGTCATTTTTCATGTGGTCTTTTTATCCCTCATTGCACAGAGGGGTTCACTCAGACCTCAGCTCTTCCTCAGGATGACATGCTCTCTGTGTAGGTGTAGATTTGGTGGGCACATGGGAGGAGGTGGTTTCAGGCTCTTTACATGCCATCTTGGCCCTGTCTCCAAACAAAATTATTTAAAAAGAAAAAGAATAGGCTATGTAACATGAAATAGTTTAGATGACCACTTTATGAATAAAATTGTAATGAAACAAAATTCAAAAACACAGTTATATTAGGAAAAGTAGTCATCTCTGAATCCAAGGACGTTTTCAATCTAAAATATTTTAATTTGTAGAAATAAAGAGTCTAGCCAAGATGATATTTGACTCATAAAATTTTATTTTCACATATCTTGAATATGATGCCTAAAATCATTAAATAACATGGTTGCAAGAGCACTGATTCGCCCTATTTTTTCAGTGCCCATAATATATGTGTTAAAGTGTTAATTTTTGTGGAAATACAAAGATGAAGAGATGCAGTCCTTGAACTTATAGGTTAACTTCTACCAGTAGTCTGAATCCGTTTTGCTGACAAACTTTTCTCTCTAAAGTTTCACTTTAGAGGAATCTTTTGAAAATCTGTTCCCTGTTACTTTACCTCTTCCTGTTTTATACTCTGGATAGACATAAAATATTCATACATGGCATTCAGCATACATTTAATGAATATGCACCATGTATGAGTCACTAGGCTCTATACTGGCTTTGGGGATATAAGATGATATAATTACTGTCTTCCAGGATCTCTGTCTTGAAGGAAAAGACAGTCATGGAGTTTGTAGTACTGCTATGAAAGATGAATTTAAACAAAAATGGCAGCTACAAAAAGGAGGAACCACTAGCTTGGCTGTTGGGATTTGGCAGAGGGTTCCCAGAGCTGAATCACTGTTGGGAAGTGAACCAAAGTCATGGAAGGCTCCTGGGAGAGATGATATTTGAACAAGGGAATAGATATTTCAGGCAGAGGGAAAAAAAGGTACATAAACTCAAGTAGTTAGGAAATAGTGAGTTTGAAGCATAGGAGATGTTCAGGATGACGAGGCTGTGAAACTGTGTTTGTGGGTCACAGGAAGGATCTGATGGAAGAAAGAAGAGGATTGGTAGAATATGGGGCTTAAAAGATACATAGACATGAGATAATGAAGACATGTAAGCCATACTGTATAGTGGCTGTTTAAGATTTTCAGGAGAATGCCATGATCGCATTTGTTTTTATAGGAAGATACCACATTTGGGCCATAGGTGAGCAGTGTGGTGGATGGGACCACACTGTGACTATGCTTTCTGGAGGACCACTTAAAAGATTACTATAGTCTAGATATTTTGGTTCTCTAGAGGTGGCAGAAAGCATGGTCATCAACTTGACATGTAAAGGTATACACAGATAAATATTTCACTGGGTATGAATTCCAAATTACTTCAGAAAGGACTCTTGTTTTCCCAGTTTGGGTCCTGTGTCCATTCCGGGAACAATGAGTTGTGGCTAGGAAGCAGGGGAACACAGTAGGGAGGATGGCAACTGGGATTCTGCTTTGGCAACACAATTGGGTTCCCAAGGAGGGGACATTGTTGTGATCTAGAAAGACAATTCAGTAGGTTTCCACTAGAGAGTACAAATGAATCTATTATTTGGGACACATTGTCAATGGTTGTAATTTAACCTGGGTTTAGTGTCAGATGAAATCAAAACAGACAGGCCCAGAGTGCCTTCAAATATTTGAAGATGCAGGAATGTTGGTGATAATGTTTAGTTCTCTAAAGTGAAAGATAACATCTTTTAGAAATCTGGAAATAGATGGTTTTCAGGAATTTTTTATTCCACAGTTCAAAAAAGCAATCAGTCTTATTCCCCTTCTTCTCTATGGGAATGAGTGGGAACTCTACCTTCCTAAAAGTATAACTGAAATCTGAAGCTTGGAATTAGCTACTGGGAATTAAATTTAAGAAGCTTACTTCATAAACTATTCGTTTTTTACTACAGCTTTTTAGTACCTACACAGATATCACAGGTTTATGCAGGTATCAGAAGTTTGGCTTGAGTGAGGTTTATTAAACTCTATAGATCTAGATTCCTAGGGTCAAAGTGAATTTATTTTAGTTGGGTGTACTGTTTCTTTTACCTTCTGATTCTGCTTACTATTTCCAGTAATGAGATTTCTCCACATGGCTTACTAGTTTTTGGCTTGTTTGATATATTAAGATAACTTTTGACCCCAGATTTGTTCTTCTCATTGTTGTTCAGAGAAATTGTGGTTGTCATCCATTTCCCTGTTAACCTTTAAAATTGTCAGTTGTTTTACCCGCAAAAATGGATTCATTCAGGAATAACAGAGAATTGCAATTCAGGTCAGGCAAGCTATAGCAAGGCCATAGTCAAGTCTGGAGAATAAAGAATGCTCTTCTATAGAAAGGACTGAATTGGGAGGGCTGTCCTAAACAAAAAGTCTATTGGTGGAAAATGCGAGTTCTGTGTATTGTGGTTTCTCATCGGGTGAGTTGTGACGGTCTCTCAGGCTGGGCTGTTGCGGGGGGGCAGAAACCCTCCTTCCTCCTGCTGGGAAGTAAAGTAGCTGAAACATAAAACAGTATGATTTGCAACTCTTTTCGTGGGGTCTGCAATTGTCCAGGAGTGATGTGTGTGAGAGCTCCTCCTGCTGGTCTCCTGATGCCCTAATCAGTGAGGTTTCCCTTTGTTAATTTTCACATTTCCCTCTTTTGATCAACATCTTTCTTCGAAAGTCTTGCTGATCCGAGTCGGCTTTTCTGTATTTAGTGGTTTTGCTCCTTAGTGCCAGAGAGGACCTTTCCTGGTTGTCATGTCCTATGTCAGAGGGAAAGTGCATAGCAGTTGGAAACCACTTAAGGCCACATTTGAGTAACAAGGAAGGGTAGGAGGGAGAATGCTCAGGCACTTACCGTTTATAGTCCATATTTATGAGTATTGTAAACACTGAAGATCACCTTATTATTGGGTATATTACTTTTACAAAAGTTTGACAGGCAACAGAGTACAAATCTTAAAATAATTATACAAAACAGAAGTAGTAACATGACAACTCCAAATTGCTTTATGGTCTTAAACCAGGACCCTAGGTCTGAAAGTAGCTAACTGAATATATTTATTGGCATTTATCCCAACTTAGCAGAGAAAGTTCTTCCTATGGGGGGCAAACCCAGAGACATGTATACCTTGTGGAATTCCCTGTTTAAAGCAGCCATGAAAACAGAATAGTGATACTGCAAGAGCATTTGGGTAGATCAGTATAGGTATAAACATGAAGCAATGCTGATGGGCTTTTTTGCAAAACTTAAAGGCATTTTAAAACAATGTTGTTATCTCCAAAGAACTGTTTGGAACCAATTGAGCTTGTAAAGGTGCAAATACAAAGACCATGAATTTGGATAAGGATCCAAAGTCAGTAGCTCAGATGAAAGAAAGACTTTTGCGGATTCAGGACCTCCAACTCTTCAGGAAAAGCTCACAGATCATGGTGAGGCTGTTTCCAAAAGGCCACAATCAAAAGAAGAGGTTTTCCCCTTTTGCAAGTGCTTGGGAAATGCAGACAAGGACATTTTTCTTTCCATGAAAGAGATAGAAGCAGCAAACAGTTAGAAAAGGTACACAGGCCTAGTCCAAACATCTTGGGAAATCTGCCTGGCCAGATGTCATTTGCTTCAATTCTGGGAAATCTTTATTTTTAGGTCACCAGATGGAGTGCAGACCCAGTCAGTGTTTGGTGCTTTCTTTAGGTTTCATATGAACTCAAGGGTCTATTCCCTGGAGTTTGGCATCACAAAGGTTGGTTAGCAGTTCCTGATGAGGACCTTTCCAGTGAGGCTGAAGAGTTTTCTTGAGGTGTCTTTGCCAATAGATAAAATCTCCAGGTTGCAAGGACATTGTTTTAAGGATGTTGTTGCCTGGGAGTGTACTGTGAAAAAAAGGGCTCTACCAAAGCATGGTTATTTTTAATAGAAACAGGTCTTTACAATATTGAAATATATCTCCTTTTATAAGTCAAAAGTCAAAGGAGGCCAGGGCAAGTACATTGAACTATCTCAAAGGATGTAAGTCTGCAAGTTCCAATGGGGTGGATCTGACATTTAGAAGGACTAACAACAATGTTTTTGGCCAAGGTATTTGGAGGATCTCTACAAATTTTGCCACTTGAATCTTAATAGTGCCATTAGTGAATATGACTGACCCTGAGGATCAAGGATGGAATGCACAATGGAAGTCTAAAACTGGCCAGACAGCACAGACTAGTCAAAGGTTCTGACCAGTAAAATGGCTTCCCTGATCACTTTATAGTTTCAGAGGGGTTCCCCACATAGGGATAATCTTTTCTAGGAAATGTTTAGCCAGAGAAGAAGCACTGGCCTGTCTAGGGAAAATTGTAGTCCAGTGACAAAGTACAAACATGAGTAAAACACTTTGATGCATGAGATAGGAAAGCTGAATAAAATTCATTTGCAAACCTCAAATGGCCCATTGAGTGATTTAAAATGCCCAAGGCCTTATAGACAAGTGGGACATGTGAGGTAGGCACTTTTTGCAGCCTTACTGATATTTCCCCACCAATATCAGTTCACAAGTGCTATCATTTGGTCACTAGACCAATTGTTTAATGCATGTACAGTGGTAAGTAGAGGGAATTTTAGAATTTCTGGTAGGGCTGGACTGTTATTTGATTCAAAACAGAGTTCTCTTATCCAATCTATAGTTATCAGATTTCCATTATTGTTTTTCCCTCTCTGGGGCCATTTGCTGGCTATCACTGTCAATTTTCCAGATCATTTGGGAAAACATCCCTTTAGAACATGACCAAGGTTTGGCTATTTGTTTCCTAGAAAATGTCTGAAATGCCCAGGAACCTTAATAGTCAGAGCTACCAGTAAAAGTATGGTATCTAATATGAGTTATTTTCAATTTTATATCCATTGGAGGTTAGGAAACCTCATTGTTCTCATAATATTCAAAAGTCATGAGCCCCAAAGGCACACTAATGATCAGTATAAATGTTTATGGTTTTATTCTTGGCTTTAGATACAAGCTCAAATAAGGCCAAATAACTCAGCTTGTTGGGCCACAGAAGGCAAAGGTAGAGGTGCTGCTTTAATAACTTCAAAAGGAGTTTCCATAGCATACATAAGAGGTATCATTTTCATCCCTTAAATAAGAACCATCAGTAAACCATGAAAAAATCTGCATTGGTTAAAAATGATCTGTCAGCATTAAGCAGTTGTGAAGGGTTTCGTCTGGATCCAAATGAGGTTCTATTTTGAGATCACATGCCCTAGCTATCAAACCTGAGTCCGAGCAAACTGCAAGTTTTCTTTTGGAGACTTTATGGCTTTTTAGAGCCAGAAGGTGGATACTGTCTTCCTATGAAAGCAAGTATGAGATGAGAGCAGAGAAACAATACAAGCAGAGCCTGCAGAAAGATTTCCATCTCCAAATCAGCTCTTAAGGTTTGTTAGAAGGAAGGACTCTCTGTGAAACCCTGGGATATTACTGTCCAGGTATATTTCTTTTCTTCCCAAGTGGAAGCAAAAACATACTACCGTTATCAACTGGAATACTAAAAATGTACTACAGAGTTCAAATACAGTGAAAACTCTGCTCTCAGTGGGAATGAATGTCAGCAGCTTCTTGGGGTTGGGAACAAGAATGGGGTGCCAAGGGGTAACGATGTTATTTACTGCTCAGAGATCCTGGACAAACCTCATCCTCAGCCACTGGGTTTTCTCACAGGTAAAATAGGGGTATTACAGGGACTAGTACAAGATATGAGGCCCTGAGACTTGTAATCTTCTATTATGAATGAAGGACTTCTTTATTCATAAGGTATTGATTAATTCTAGAGAGAACTTGTGAGGGATCTTTTTGAATCTTGACAGGAGGTACATCGTGGATTCTGCCAGTATCAGTTGAAAATTCTGTCCATAAGGAGGATGGTAGCTGTTCCAACAGGAATAAATAAGCAGTGTTCCCAGACTCATCTATAGTGATGTCCAAGACAGAGAAAATAAAAAGTGTTTAAGGATCACTCGATTCCCCTGGTTGGCTATTTTGATTACTACGCTACTTCAAATTCTAGAATTATTTCACCCCTTGAGAGAAGAAAACAAACAATACAAACACACATTTTAAGAACTGTCAGCCCAACAAATGAATTAGGGTGGAGGAACTAAGGAGAAAAAGCATGTGTCTTGAAGGCCTGGAAAAAGGGGAACAGGTTCAGAGGCAGGAACCCATTGAGGTTTATTTGAGACCTCCCCTATTGGAACCGTTTTAGTACTCCAGGGCAGGGGCTGCTTTACAGCAGTGTGGTTGACCATGGAAAATGTAGCTTAGTGTCAAGAAGGGCACAGATTCATTCCCAGTCTGGAGTGGTTTCTCAGAGCCAATTAATAAGGAGGATAGGGAAGAGCCCCTGTAGTTTCTCTAAGCTCCGTTATTGAGAATTAGGAGGACATTGGAAGGGTTGAGGGCATTTAAAGCACTTACATTTACAAAAATCTTTTTGCTAGTATCTTAGCTTTTAGCAAAAAACTTGATTTTTCGCTTTGTTTAGGGGACTTCCTCTATCAGTGTTGAAAGTTAAGAATTTTAGCAGTCTTTCTTTTAGGTGACTCATCTATGGTGTGAGCAAGCTGGTTTGCCAAATTAACCAAATCTGGACAACATAGTTTTCCATACCATCCTGTCCAGCCCATTAACATAGTTAAGTGCTTTCCGGGTAGATTCAACATCTAAAGGAAGACCAGAATTTTCCTTGAAAACAATCTGATGTCAATGGTAGTAGTTACAAGCATGCTTATCAGGATTTGTGTGCAAGCCTGAATTCTGTTCCAGTCAATACTCTTAGGAAAAGGCACTATAATTGTTTGGTGGAGATTTTCAGCAAATGTTCTAGTATTTTGCCAAAAGTTTGGTGTCTGTTCCTCTAAATTCTCTTCAGGATGTTCCCATCAGGCTAGTTTTGTCCAGTGTTTAGCCTGTCCCAAACCAACAAGCTTGTGGACTGATATAAATCTGAGAAATCAGGTTGGTAAGTTTGAATGCTGTGTTAAATTCTACAGTAACCCTCTCTATGTGGGTCCTTAGTCACTTTAGGAAACTCCTGAACTATGGCTTGCAGTGTGGTCTTGTCCAGGGAACTTAAGATACTTCGGTTTTGCTTAGATCCTCAGAAGACTTAACTTTAAAAGGAGAGGTTTTAATGGTTTCAGGAGAGGAGGGAACACAGGAGGTGGGGCAATGCAGAAGGAACAGAAGAAAATGGCACCAGAGGCAGGGCCAGAACACATGGTGAATGCCGCCACTTGTCGTCTGTGGACAAAGAAGATGGGGAAGGGGAAAAAGAGGCCTCAGAAGCCATTTTGGTATCTTTCAATTGTTTGTTTGCCTTAGTTCATTTAGAGATAGTATTTTGCAATGAGGAAAACTTATTCTGAAAACATTTGAAAGCCTCAACTTATCAAAATAGTTATCTCATTCAGGGGTTTTGTTTTGTCTTTTGGAGCTGCAGCTTTCTAATTTAATTTTGAAAAAATGAAAGTTCCCCATAATGGCTGTGGTGTTCTAAATTAGTTTTAGTTAAGTTGGTCCAGGTAGTCAGAAATGTGCATGAGGAGGGACCATAGATTTTACATATAAAACCTGCCAGAGTCCCAGAATGGGGGAGGGGTGTCCCCAAAGCATTTTGATAATTGAGATCTCATTTCTTGGAAATTTTCCTCTGTAGTAAGGAGAAAAATTCCTGAACAACGGAGTTTCAACAGGAACAGCCCAGTTCCAAAGGACTTGGACTCAAGGCTAGCACACTTCCAGCAGGCACAGATGTAACTTTAACCCTCAAAGTACAAGGCTTGAAGGGATTAACAGTTGCATTAAGGTGTTGGTGCATGAGATGCTCTAGGAAGACTCCTAGTTCTCACAAATGGAGACTCACCTCATACCCTAACCTAAAGAGACTCTTTTCCACAAAAATTTTAAAATTCTTTTTCCAGACGCACAAGGCCCAGAACAAAAAGCAAAGGAGGCAGTGCCTGTGGGATAACACTGATATTCCAAAGAAAATGTAACCTCCATGGACCACATAAATAAAGCCCCAGAACACACAGCAGAGAAGTCCAGACAACTGGTGTCAAAATTTACAGAAAACCCCGTAAGATGCTTTGTGGAACTACCAAGTGACCAATACTTGGATACATCAAGATTGTATTTAAACAAGGGCATAATCAAAGTATGAGACTGAAGAAATAGAACCCTGAGCAGGAAACCAGTGTTCCAGTGGAGACAGCATATTCCAACTGAAACATGGGACCCTGGTTAGACTAGAATGGGTTAGGCAGATATCAACAATATCTTATTGGTTGGGTAGGGTATGGGCTCAGTCATTCTGCACAAGTTCAACTGCCTTCTTCAAAGACTCGTAGGAGTTAATGTGAATCTGAAATTATGTAAAATTGTAAAGGAGTTATGAAAGATAATTCAAAGAGGAGACTCTGTCCATTACATGCATTCTTGCATGTAGTAAGGGCAGAAAACAACAATTTAAGAGTTCACCACCACTAACCCTTACAAGAAATGTTTGAGGGACTTCTTTAAGAGGAATAGAAAAGGCCATAAATAGAAGAAAATTATTAAAAGAAAAAATTTCACTGGTAAAAGCAAATAGCAAAGAAAGTAGATCAATCACCTGCAAACCAGTATGAAGGTTAAAAGAGAAAAGTAGTACAAATAAATAACTTCAAAAAGTTAGGTAAGGGAATTACTAAATAAAAAGGATCGTATACATGAAATATGGAGGAGGGGGAGTAAAAATATGGTGCTGTTAGGATATGTTCAAATTTAAACCATCAATATAACAGACAGCAATGTATGTAACACATCATATATAAATGCCACAGTAACCATAAAAAACTTATAATGGATACACATAAAGAGAAAGGAATGCAGCCATAACACTGAAGAAAGTTATCATTCAAGAGATTCAACAGAGAACAGAAACTAAAAAAATTTAACAATGTGGCAATAAATATATACCTATCCACAATTACCATAAATAACAATGAACTAAATGTTCCAATCAAAAGACATTGGGTGACTGAATAGATTAAAAAAAGTGAAACCCAAGTACATGCTGCCTAAAAAAGACTACTTTCAGACCTAAAGACATACACAGACTGAAACTGAAGGGATGAAAAACATATTCCATGTAAACAGGGATGAGAAAAAAAACCGGAGTAGCAGTACTTTAATCTGACAAAACAGACATACACACTAAGAAGAGACAAAGAGGGACAGTATATAATGATTATGGGCTCAATCCAGCAAGAAGATATAACAATTGTAAATATCATCACACCCAACAGAGAAGCACCTAAATAAATAAAGCAAATGTGAACAACCATAAAGGGAGAAATTGACAGCATTATAATAATAGTAGGGGACTTTAACATCCCACTTACATCAATAGATACATCCAGACAGTGGATTTGCATGGAGACCATATGACTTAATAGATATATACAGAACATTGCATCCCGCAGCAATAGAATACAAATTCTTTTTGAGTACATGGAACATTCTATAGGATAATCACATATTAGTCCACAAAATGAGACCAATAAATTTAAGAGGATTCAAATAATACCAAGCACCTTTTCTGACCACAACAATATGAAACTGGAAATCAAAATTTAAAAGCTGGAAAAAAAACACAAACATTTGGAGACTAAACAGCATGCTACTAAACCACCAAATGGCTTGAATAAAAAAATCAAGGAGGATATAAAAAAATACTTGGACAATGTTGAAAATGAAAACACAACAGTTCAAAATCTTTAGGATACATCAAAAGCAGTTCTAAGAAGAAAGTTTATAGTGATATAGACCTACCTCAAGAAACAAGAAACATCTCACATAAACAATATAACTACACACCTAAAGTAATTAGAAAAACACACAAATCCAAAGTTAATAGAAGGAAAGAATATTAGAGCAGAAATAAATGAAGGAGAGACTAAAAAACAGTACAAATGATCAATGAAACTAAGAGTTTCTTTGAAAAGGTAAATAAAACCTTTAGCTAGATTTGTCAAGAAAAAAGAATGCAAATAAAATCAAATTAAACAGAAGTTACAACTGATATCACAGAAGTACTATAATGAGATTACTATGAACATTATATGCTAAAAATTGGACAACTTAGAAGACATAGCCAAATTCCTAGAAACATGTAGTCTTCCAAAACAGAATCAGGAAGACATAGAGCATTTGAACAGCTGTTCATTAGTCAAAAAACTGAATCAGTAATAAAAAAACTCTCAATAAACAGAAGTCCAGGACCAGATGTCTTCAAGGGGAGAGGTCTACTCAATTTTCAAAGAAGTGTTAATATCAGTACTTCCCAAAATTTTCCAAAAAAATTAAAGAGGAAGGAAAGTTTCCAAATTTATTTGATGAGACCAGCATGACCCTGATGAAAAACAGACAAAGACATTACAAAATAAGAAATTACAGCCCCATATCCATGATGAACCTACATTTAAAAATCCTCATCAACAGATTCACCGGCTGCCAAGGGGAGCCGCCGGGCGCTCGCAGGTTCGGTGCGCGCTGCCCGCCGGAGGACCCAGCCGCCGCGCCCCGCCGCCTCCCGGAGCCATGGCCGCTCTCAGCCACCCCGCCGCCTTCGGCCGGGCCACCCACGCCGTGGTGCGGGCGCTGCCCGAGTCCCTCGGCCAGCACGCGCTGAGGCGCGCCAAGGGCGACGAGGTGGATTTCACCCGCGCTGAGCGGCAGCACCAGCTCTACGTGGGCGTGCTGGGCAGTAAGCTGGGGTTGCAGGTGGTGAAGCTGCCGGCCGACGAGAGCCTCCCGGACTGCGTGTTCGTGGAGGACGTGGCCGTGGTGTGCGAGGAGACGGCGTTCATCACACGGCCCGGAGCGCCGAGCCGGAGGAAGGAGGTTGACATGATGAAAGAAGCATTAGAAAAACTTCAGCTCAATATAGTAGAGATGAAAGATGAAAATGCAACCTTAGATGGTGGAGATGTCTTATTCACAGGCAGAGAATTTTTTGTGGGCCTTTCCAAAAGGACAAATCAACGAGGTGCTGAAATCTTGGCTGACACTTTTAAGGACTATGCGGTCTCCACAGTCCCAGTGGCTGATGCTTTGCATTTGAAGAGTTTCTGCAGTATGGCTGGGCCTAACCTTATCGCAATCGGATCCAGTGAATCTGCACAGAAAGCCCTCAAGATCATGCAACAGATGAGTGACCACCGCTATGACAAGCTCACAGTGCCTGATGATACGGCCGCAAACTGTATATATCTAAATATCCCTAGCAAAGGCCACGTCTTGCTGCACCGAACACCAGAGGAGTATCCAGAAAGTGCAAAGGTTTATGAAAAGCTGAAGGACCATATGCTGATCCCTGTGAGCAATTCTGAAATGGAAAAGGTGGATGGGCTGCTCACATGCTGCTCCATACTGATTAACAAGAAGGCAGACTCCTGAGTGGGAGGCCCTCCCTTGTAGCCGGCAAAGCTGCACTGGCCAGGCCGAAAACTGTACCCACTTCTGTTGTTGTCTCTGACAACCTGCTGTGCTGCTTTGCTACTAACTCTGGGTTATAAAAGTTTCATTCTGAGTTTAATTGCTTCTTTCTGCACCACCCCCACCCCCCCCTCAAGGTGGTACCTAACCTGTGGATTTGCTAAATGAATTCAGCAATATAGAAAATAATAGAGCTAATGAATTATTGAAACATGGTTAATAATAGTAAAGACACCTTCACTTTAGTGTTTGTATCAGTGTGAAAATCGCTTAGTTGCCCATGTATGCTGAAGAATGTCTTCTTGATCAGTCAGATAGGCTGGGGTTATCATTAATCATCTTTGATTCCTTTGAAATTCCCTGGTCCATGGATCCTCGCCTTTCCCTGTTTTTTTTTTTCTTCTGAACCCTGAAAACTTTTTTCCAGTTACTTTCTTTTGCCTTTCCCACTTCTTTCAGTCACCTGGGCCTTGGGTAAAATCCAGAGTCTTGCCTTCTAGATCTCATGCTACGTCTTCTGCCACTACCCCTACTCTTCTCCAGAAAGGCAAACAGGCCCCTCAGCAGAACTGTAACCAAAATCAGAATGGCTGTTGTGGGGAGAGTTACCTACACAGAGGCACATCCTGACAAGGTTTGCCCCAAAGATCTCAGCTCCAGAAGAAGGAGGGTACCACACCTGGGCAGGTGAATTCAGCTCCAGATGGCTGCTGGGGGGTTGTGGATCAAGAGGCTTGGAAACACCCCATGGGTCCAACATCTTAGGAAGGCTTAGAAAGTCTCTGTAAGTCACATTCCATGAAATTTTGCTTCATTACTGGCCATATACAGACCTTGGGGAATAGAGCCTTATTTTTTCCTTTACCTCATTTCTATTTCCCCCTTCATGACTCAGCTTATTTCCAGCCTTCTACCCCCTGCAGTTATCTTCATCCAGAAAAGTTATTTTTTTCAAAAGGACATCACATCTAAAAATGATTATTGATGGTCTAGTACAAGCCAGATGGGGCACGTTCAGAAAGTCATCGGCTTAGTGTTTGAAACCAACTGCAGACAATGGACAATTCTCATTTGAAATATCCATGAATATTTACTGTGGAATTCAATTAAAACTTCTTTCCTCTCTAACCTTCAAATTACACAACCTTAAACTGACACGGGTCTCTTACAAAGAACAGTGCCTCAGTGAAGGGAGAGATCATTGTCTTTCACTTAAACCTGAAAGAAGCAGCCTTTTAGAAAACCAGGGACATGGTACTTTCCAAGGAATGGTGACTGATCCAGGCATGTTATCAAACTTCCTAGTCATCTCCACCTTTCTGTATTGCCTCTGGCATATTGTTTAAGATTAAGAATCAGAGATATTAAGAAATACTACTTCAAGTCTCACTCTGCTTACCTATGTGTTTGTAATCAAACATCCCTTATATCTGGTGACCCAGAGAGAATTACCTTCATTTGTCACCTCCCCCTTAGCAAATGAAAGTGGTAAGCCTCTGAGAAAACTGAGACATCCTTAACCACTGTATTTTTAATTTATTTGATAATTTTATGAATTTCTTGAGCTTTGAAGAAATTCCTTCTCTTTCTTTTTGCTTAGCTTTAAAATTCATTTCACAGGTGAATATCTAATTATATGCATCCTGTGAGTGAACCATATCTTGGTCACTGTCATATTTCGAACTGTCTCATCATGAGTGAATAATATGTTTTACCAGAGAGAGAATGAAAGTTACCCATATGCCCAAGTTAATAAAGAAAACTTGGCCTCTGCAGTTCTGGTTGCCCTTTTGGGTAAAATCTGGCCCTACGCTGGCAGAAGCAGGAATTCTTCCTGTTAAGAGTTCAGGAGCTCAAAAACAGCCACAGAAACACTAACCAGTTTCGGCTTAATACTAAAGCTAACTGGCATGTAATTTTCAATATTTTTACTTCTATTATTCCAAATTAAAGAACTGTTCTCTGTTCTGTTTAGTCAGTTGCAAGTGAATAGATATTTCTTTTCAACAATTTGTTGTACAGAGGCTGTTTTTCATTTTTCCTCTCCTTATTTTCTTCTTTGCCTCTCTTTATCTCAAGAAATCACTTAGGATCCATGCACTTCCTCTACAGAATCTTTTTCTGCACTGCTGTGTCTCCTCTAGGCTGTCCTCTTTGGATACCCTATGTGATATGATGATGTAAAACCTAAAATGTGCACAGCATAGTAGTAGTATTTATGTGATGTTTTCATCAGCATAATGTTAACTTGGAAGAAGATACCCATTACTTAGATTCCCCTCTTGTCCATTGTGATTTATAAGGATAAAAAACTAACAGAAACTGCTTTTTGATGTTGTAAAGCCATTAGGAATTGTATTTAGGTAAGTAAAAGTTAATTGGGAGTTATTTGGTCAGTAAGGGTCAGTTTAATAGAGACAATATAGAGAAAGTACATTATTTAGCATTATTTCCTCAACTGTGATGGATTGCTAAGAAATCAGCAGACAGATCTTGCTAATGTCTATTGATTGCTCTTTTAAGCTACGGTGAACAGATTACTAAGGCTACCTCTTCATCTGTAAGAGGGGAAAACAGTCCATAAATGAATGATGTGACTTATATAGAGTTGCATGTCAGCCTTTGTAATTATTTACTGTTTAACATTCTACAGAATTCAGACATGATTTCGACGTGGTGTTAGATCTGTGCATTTTACATTACTGATCATCTCGTTCCAGCCAGTGTGTGGTTATCCACTCTGTGTGCCAAAACCAGTAATGCCTTTCATGGCCCTTTAGTCCAGAGAAGTTCTGCACTGATAGTCTCTTGCTGTCCTGTCCTACAAGTAACCAATCACGATGGAATAAAGTGTGCATTGTACAATGAAAAAAAAAAAAATCCTCAACAGTATAATAGCAAACTGAATTCAAATATACATTAAAACGATCATTCACCAAATGGGATTTATTCCAGGTATACAAGGATGGTTCAATATGTGCAAAGCAATCAATGAAACATACCACATTTAAAAAAAAAAGGAGGGATAAAATCATACGGTCATCTCAATAGATGCTGAAAAAGCATGTGACAAAATTCAACATCCATTCATGCTAAAAACTCTCAACAATGTGGGTACATAGGGAACATATCTTAACATAATAAGGTCTGTATAAGACCAAACCCACAGGTAACATTATACTCAATGGTGAAAAGCTGAAAGCAAGACAAGGATGTCCACTCTCATCACTTTTATTTAACATAGTACTGGAAAACCTAGCGATGGCATTCAGACAAGAAAAAGAAATAGAAGGACCCAAACTGTTAAGGAAGAAGTGGAATTGTCACTATTCACAGATGACATGATGCTATGTGGAGAAAATCCTAAAGACTCCATCAAAAAACTATTAGAATAATGGAATTTAGTAAAGTTGCATGATAAAGGAGCAATATATAGAAATCTGTGTTTCAATATACAAATAATGAACTAGCAGAAAGAGAAATTAAGAAACCAATCCCATTTACAATTGCATCAAAGATTATAAAATGTGTAGGGATAAATCTAACCATGAAAAATTTGTACTCTGAAAACTGTAAGACAGTGATGAAAGCAATTGGAAAAGACACAGATAAATGGAAAGTATTCTATGCTCATGGGTTGGATGAATTAATATTGGTAAAATGGTCATAGTGTCCAAAGCCATCTACAGATTCTATGCAGTTATCAAATTACCAATGACATGTTTCATGGAACTAGAGCAAAGAATCCTAAAATTTGTATGGAACCACAAAATACCCTGAATAGTCAAAGCAGTCTTTAGAGAAGAACAAAGTTTGGCGTATCATGCTCCTTGACTTCAAACTATACTACAAAACCATAGTATTCAAAACAGTACAGTAATGGTACAAGAACAGATACATACATCAATGGAACAGAATAGAGCACCCATAAATAAACCCATGCCTATACGGTCAATTAACTTATAACAGAGGAGGTAAGAATATAAAATGGGGAAAAGACAGTCTCATTAATAAATGGTGTTGGGGAAACTGGACAACTAAATGCAAAAGAATGAAACTGGATCACTAACTAACACCATAAGAAAAAAGAAGCCAAAGATGGATTAAAGACCTAAATATAATACCTGAAACAACAAAACTAGGAGAAAACATAGGTAATATGCTCTTGAACATCAGCATTAGTTTTTTTTTTTCTGGATATGCATCCTGAAGCAAGGGAAACAAAAGTAAAAATAAACAGATGGGACTACATCAAACTAAAAAGTTCCTTCACAGCAAAAGAAACCATCAACAAAGTGAAAAGGCAACCTATTGTATAGGAGAATATATTTGCAAATGGTATTTGTTAAGGGACTAATATCCAAAATATATAAAGAACCCCTACAGCTGAACAACAACAAAAAACCTAATTATAAAATGGACAGAGAACCTGAATATTTTCCCAAAGACAACATACAAATGATGAACAGAAACATGAAAAGATGCTCAACATCATGCAAGTCGAAAGCACAATGGACATCACCTCACACCAGTGAGGATGGCTAATAGGAACAAGACAAGGAATAATAAGTGCTGATGAGGATGTGGAGAAAACGGAACCCTCATACAGTGCTGGTAGGACTATAAATTGTGCAGCCACTATGCACTGTGCATATGTGGCATGGAGCTTTCTAAAATAACTAAAAATAAAATAGAAATACTATACAACCCAGCAGTTCCACTCTGGGAATGTACTTGAAAGCAGAGTTACTAATTCAAAAAGATATATGCAGACCTACATTGAAAAGCAACATATATGAAAAAGAAATATGCACCAATAGTTATAATAGCCAAGATATAGAAGCAACCTAAATGACTATCAGTAAATGAATGGGATGATGAAGCTGTGGTACAATGGAATACTATTCAGCCATAAAAGAGAATGAAATCTTGCCATTTGCTAAAACAAGGATGGACCTAAAAGTATTATGCTAAATGAAATAAGTTGGGCAGATAAAGACAAATACCATATGATTTCACTTACATGTTGAATCTAAAAAATAAAACAGTTGAACAAATAAAACAGAAATAGAGTCACAGACACAGCAAAGTGATGGTTGCCATTGAGGAGAGGGTTAGGGGGAATGGGTGAAATACATAAAGGGGAAAAAGTTAGTGAGAATGTTTGCTATCTTGATCAAGGTGATGTTTACATGATGTATACACATGTCAAAATGCCATGAA